TCATTACATTTAATTGGGCTGCATTTCTATTTTTGACTTTCGAGGCGACTTCTGTGTGTATCTAGGAACTTTGTTGATAGATTAAACCCTAGAGACGGGAAGATAATTATTTTGAACCATTAAGAACATTCTCCATAGCGCCTTCGTTATGACACTTCACATTGAATTTAGCTTCGCCATTTATAGTACGGCTCTTGCTTTTTTTACTTTATTTTTTAAATTTGTTTCTCATACGATTCTTGCAGAATCTTCTTATCACCGGACACCCCCGTGCCGTGAAATACTAGTGCAGGAAACTCTACAACGCCTATGAGCTATGGACTTACGTCTTGACATTTTGTTTCACCGTTGTAGGACTAGAAGTTTATACTAGACACTTAAAGGCTGATTTTTCACCTATCGCTGCCAACTAACGTCTAAGGATCTGATATTAAGTGGCCCTTTCCACGACATATGAGAGAAATTCGCTTTTTCCCGTTTATGGTAGATTTCCTTTTGAAGTCAGTTGAGACGGAGACTTTACTGAACCAAATGAAAGCCTCGACCAGTTCCTGAGGCTGTCGTTTCTCATTGAATTCCCTGACGGTATCCATTCAGGCCAAGGTTCAAATATTGGCAGTTGACTACTCAAGCAGCCTGATGAATCCACGTGCCTCCTTATATCTCGCATCACCCAGTTCATCACTATAAGTCTGTACATTAGCGGGCCTTTATCATAATGGCTTGTATTGATATTAAGGACCGTCTAGTGTCACGCTATCTGTGGACTTCAAAAACATTACGATCTTTGTCTGTCCCATTAACTTTAATTGATTTAATTTCATCTTTTATGTGGCTTAACTCAAGGATATTTACAGAGAGCTGGAGAAACCCGCTTGTCATTAGCTCGGAACCAGTCAAAACTATTAACGACTTTCCCAATGACCTACAGGCACATGGTGCACCCCATCAGCTGAGGGATACTGTTGAACTCCATCAACTTACTCCTCGGCACAGCACTTGCCTTAGGCTATTTGGCCTGTTTATAGGCCCATTTAAGGTTGCTCAATGCTTTTCAAACAAAAAGCATTCCATCCGCTCTGACGATGATCCACTTTCATTTCACACAATTGCAGATTTCAATGATCGCAAATCAGAACAACATAGTTACATTCCACGAAACTGACATCCCTGCTGACAGTGATCTCGTCGACGAAAGTTGGTAGAAGCCATAAAATGAACCGCATTTTACTTTATTAGCAGTCAGTAGACTTTAATTTGGATGCAGATGGGTGGTTCTTGGAACAGGTTTTTCTATTTTCTAAAGGCATCGTGCAGCTCTGGTTAATATAATGGCACTATGAGTCGTTGGGTAAAGTGTGTTCAAAGCATTTCATCGTAAGATTTAGCTTGATCTTAATATTAAAATACAAATAAACGCTTGCTTATAAAAAAAAAAGATCTACGTTTTTAAGGTTGTAAACCATTAACTAATGAGTACCTCTCATTGTGCATCGGATGCTTTCCTGACTGAAAAAACGGCTGCTTTGCTGCGTAGAACAATGATTGAGTTTTCTGATAACAAAACAGTAGTTCATGCCTTTGATCGAATGGCAGTCGTTGCAGCTCTCTGCTTCCGTTTAGGCATTTTACAGTGTTACATATATCATACAAAGTGCAAAGATACAAAAAAGAATCGAGCAAATCAATTTTGGATTAATGTATTGATGCTTGTTTAACAATGTCATTCTCACATGCCATCAAAAAGTAAAGGTGCAAAATTAACGAAAACGGTAGTTTTGAGGTTAATGAATCCAACCGAAATACTTGGCACAGAACTATACTCCCTCCCATATCCCTTCAGATCAGACTGCAATTTGACCTATGATAATTTGCTTGCACACTTTGGCAAACTCCCAGAACAACCCATCGGACTGGCTCAAGTCTGTTGTGAAAGACGGTAAATGAAACGTGAATTAAACAAACCCACCAACGACTCTCAAATTCACCCGTGATTACCTAATACCAAAGGATTTGGATGATACCTAATCCAGGAAATCGTAGTCTGGTGTTTGCGATTTTTACAGGAAACTGATAACAAGAATACTACAATTAAAAGCTTTGACAGGCACCTTGTGTTAATGAGAAAATGAAAAACACATTTTTTTGATCAAGCTTTATTCTTGATACACCATAATTTGGTATGCCGCAGCTTCTGCCAACATCTTCAACGTCATGCCAACTAAGTCACTTGCTTCTACAGTATTCGAAAAAATTACTCAAAGAATGCTTTTGCAAAGAAGCCTCACAAGTCCTGCAACTCCAGCACAAAAATTGAACGTTTGGTCTTCGCCGATTATCTATGGTTGCCCAGACACACAATCTCTACAAATACCCAATAGAAACAGTCCGATTACCAAATAGATTGCCGTCATCACTGTAGTATCTATCAACGACAGTGCCACACAGTGGCTACCGTATATAGTCCGAGCTTTTTCGCGACACTCAACAGGTGATAGCTTTCTTCAACATACCGCAGCAGGCCATCGACTAAGTCTCACGCAGACGGCCAAAGCGTTCACTCACCGCAGTCCCAGTAGTCGTTCCAGTGACGAGAGTCCCTCTGTGTTGTTGATGGCTGCTTGATGTTCGGACAACGCCTCGCGGTGCCCAGTTCCCTTTTTCGTGGGTCCTTCACCAATTTCGCCCTGGGAACCCCGGCATTAGCTGCATGAAGTCAATCGCCCGCACTTATGACTATCGGTTGCAAATGGCCCACCACCTTGGCCGCAGTCACAGAAGCTCCGATTCCACGTCTATATCGATTTTGCAGGATGTTATAACGGGTTTCCTACCTCTTTTAGGTGGAGGACATTCAAATAAATTCTCCCACTTATTAGACGAAATTACAGGCCCTGAGATCCATTTTTGGTCAGCATGGCATTTCGGGATCTGCAATCTCCAATAATGGCTCAGAATTCGCAAGAGTTCAGGAACCTCTGTAGACAACGAGCTATTACCCACATCCGCTTTCCTTTCCTCCGCCCACGGTCGAATAAGCAGGTTGAACGCTTCGTCGACACTTGGAAGTGGATCTTGCTGGAGTCCCATGAGAAGGAAACTCCATCCGTCGACAGCCTACAGAATTTCTTCGTGGTGTATCTCACTAAACCAAATGAGACTTCCACATCCACAGTCACCGTCCAAGGCGCTCATGAGTCGCATGCTGAGACCGACAAATTCTTGCATGTATCCAAGTGACTCAAACCTCCATAAAATGGTTCTGCAACTTCCTTTAAGATTACGACTCTCTTTTAAATGCATGAATACCGACTAGAGCGCGGCCCATGCACCAAGGGAATGATCACACGCACACACAGTACAATTATCCCGATTTAAAACACAAACCTGATTTTTTACGTACTCCGGGAAGTCATACACACTCTAGCGAAGGGATGTGACAATCTACGCTAGGAACATAGCATCAACACATAAACAAAAAATTCACCACTTCTAGTCATAAGTTCACGAACATAATAATAATGTTTGATTTAAACGATTCATTTGTGAAGGCTGCGTTATACACACAGGTCCTGAAGACAAGCATTGCCCTCAGTATTTCCCGGTCTACGATTTCACTTTATCTCTACAACAATTATTCCAATATTCTACAACGCATCAGGAGGACTTGTTCTACCATGCTAAACGATTAAAATTGTCCAACGAGAAGTCGCTTCTACACTACCTTGCCACAGACCGACTTCTCTCCTGTCCAGAATCGGTCGATTTCGGCCATCCTCCAAATGCACACTTGTCAAAATATGGCGCAAGTGTTGCGTCGGTGCGTGCCGGATTCCGTGGTCTTATTGAGCATGGCGAATATGTTCAACAGGGTCACATTATACCCGGATTGATGGCATTGCTACAGATGTCCTTCTTAGGAAACCGCTACACAACCCACCTGGAAGGATCAGGGTCGCTAGACCAAGTAGCTCGTGTGTTCGAAGAAATGAACGACTCCTTCAGACTAGCTGGTAAATTAGCTGCTACTTTGGACAATAAGCAGGCATCAACAGCCAGAATATTTGAATGTCTTAAGCCTACACTGACTGCCATCTGCGATCCAAAGAGCCACTCGGCTTACGACTGCTGGATGTACCCAATTACACTTTTTCTAGCCTCATATTCAAAATTTGTTTGCAAACACACTGAAAACACAGTAAACCCACGCTTAGCTATCCTACTGACTGAACACCTGTTAATCGCACTATCACGCCTGCTTCAGACGTCAGCTGAAGGCGAACAAGAACAATCGCCGCGTTTGAACGAGTCGTTGGCCAGGATACACTCATTCGCGCAAGTTCTACTGAGTTGTTTCCACCAAAGAAGGCAACTGGACATTAAGTTGGTCGGAGCTTGCGCAATCACAAACAGGGCCATTCATCAGCTTAGGGTAGACAAAACACAGGACACTTGGTTAAGGAATGGATCACTGTCACTACTGCATTCCATGAAAAACCATATTCAGTGCTTGCACGAATATTCTGTTTGACGATTTTGTACTTACTATACATTTTATAGAAAAGCGCCACCTTTGTAAACCCTAGTTACTTAATGGATTGTTATGATTTGCAGGGTTAGGTTTCATTTCATTCAGCATCATCGGTGTCTAGCAGCATCAGAATGTCGTGAACGGTTTGAGTGGGTTTTTGTTCCTTGACAAATTGACTTGTCATGAACCATGGCAGCCGTTACGATAGGAATTGGAAAAATACGGCCAGATAAGTGACGAAGTTGGGCTTGAGGTAATTGCAACGACACACGGACTGTACATTCTTGTAAACAAGTAAAGCAAGTGCCAAATCATTCATAGTAGGGCGGTCACATCGGTGACATTCTGGCATCACGATCTGCAGGAAGGCAAAATGCACGATTGAAGACAGCTAGACACAAAATACGCGTCCATGCACCAAACAAAACAACTCACATTAGATGCTGAAGGGCTTCACGCAAGGGCTTCGTCACGCGAGATCAACCAATGGTGGGCTCGTGATGCAGCCGTCCTCGACAGCCGAAGGTGGCAACGTTAAGTCAGTTACGTGGAGTCTTCTTGCAATGGTGTATTCGCCTACTTCAGTCTAAAATTGCAACACTCTTAAAGCCACTAACTGATTTATCTTAGGAGCTAAGTCTGCAAGAATATCACACACTAACTACAATTGACGACTGTCGCTGGTAATCCATGCGTGCACATCACGTGGAGTTGGGAAGAAACCGCACGTACCAAGCACGGGCAATGGTTAAAATCACTATAAGACACCTACATAAAAACACTACCTCTGGCTAACAGTTGGCATACGGATACTCACGCCAAGTCAAGCGACATCTCATCTACTCAACAACACTATGGTAAAATCGAGCGCTGAGATTAGAACCATTCTTCATCACTTCAGGAACATCGACAACCACACAGAAACTACCTCCTCCAAACCACCCTAACTTTGTCACTTGAAAAACGGCAAACTCATATGAGGTTAGCTTATTCCGATGAGAAGCAGTAGAACAGAGTCGCCTTGAGATGGCTTGCAGATTGGTAGAGCCTCTGGTAATGCCAGTCAAGTACATCACTGTCTGAGAATGAAGAAACTTACGGCATTGGCAGTTGTTTCTCTGCTGCTACATACGGCATCATCTTGTTGTGAACTCGCTTCTTCTTCTTCCTCAGGTGGCTGGTAGGCGAGATCGTCAACCGGATGATCACCGTGACCCCGAGAACGAACTATCCGTGTAGGAACTAGCGGAATTTGTGCCAGACGTCGCTGAAAACGAAGAAAACACCATCTCATTACACATCTACACCACCTACTTCGTGAGGAGTGACAAAATTCTAGCTCGCCCAGATGCACTTGTAGTGGCTAGGATCTAGCACTACCTT